TACTTGCCTTTTTTTATGCGCTTTCAAACTGCCAGATATATAAATAGATCATATATTGTTTCTAAAAAAAGAATGGAAACAGTACCCAGATTAAAAAGAAAGAAAGGAGTGACAAATTTGGGAGTTAGTCCCACAGGAAGCACTTGACATTTGATTGTTCCCTTCGTCATCTATACTGGCTGTCCTTTTTTTTAAAAAAAAAGGTAGGCCTGGACATTATGTTCTAGGAATTACGATACTTTCAGGAAATCTGAAGAAGATCCTATTTAGCCCTGACATGTTGTTGAGCCAGATCTTATGATGACACATATGACTTAGTTATTCCCTCATACACATTTGTCACCTACCCAGGTATTATCAGAACAGAAAGTGACATGCTTATAAGGCCAAAAATCATGAATATCAGGAGTGGTTCAGTTCATCATGGTGTAATTAAGTTAAAACAGTGTTTCTCAATCTCAGTAACTTTAGATGCGTATCTAGCTGGGGAATTCTGGGAGTTGAAGTCCACATGTCTTAAAGAAACCAAAGTTGAGGAAAAACTGGATTAGAAGTATAAGGATCAGGTACAATTACCTATCAACTTTCTTAGCTCTTCAGTCCAATCAAAATTTGGATTTTGGCTGGAAAATAATTCCAAAATAGCCAAAATTCAACAAGTTGGAACAAGTTGTCATAAAACTCTTAGATTTTCATTTTATGTTATTGGCCTTATAGCACCTGGTATTTTAACTATTGGGTATGGTGTGTTAGAATCTGTATATATGGATAGAGTAAAGTCAAGGGAAGGATGTATGCTAAATGCAGTTAAAAATGCCAAACAAATATAAAGATTAATTCCTTAAAGTACACTATGAGAATATAAATTTAAATTATAGATTGGCAAGTAATAAAATTAAACCAGGTTATTCAACATATTCATAATGCAGAATAAATCTGGTTTGAAATTGTGCAACTCTAGAAATAGAATGTTGGATAAGAGCAAATAGAATTTAGGGGGAAATGTCTACTTCTTGCAACAAATTTCCTTAATTTGGATGCCTTCCAAATATGTGGCTTTTGATTTCCATTCCCAGAATTCTCAGTAGGGTCTGGGGAATTTTGGGAGTTGATACCTACACATTTAGAAAACATATATTCATTGGCATCTCTAACTAAAATGGTTAGAATATAGTAGAGAGAGGTGAGACATATGAACCATCTAATCAGATTATAAAATGGCCTTCAATGGAATTTACGCTAACTATTGAATTAACTTTTTTCTCCATTGCATATCATCCTATTATCCCCAAGGGATTACAGAACTAACACTTCTGCTACTCAAAATGAGAACTTGCTAGGTGGAAATTTTCTAGGAGAATTTGCTAGGGTGAACGGAAGCTCCATTGACAAAAGAAAAGGCACAATAACTGCAAGAACATTCATTATTATATAGTTTATTATAACCTACAATTTTCCCATGTAGGATTTTAAAACTACAGAACTATCTATGAATAGCAGTGAATACGGTAGGCTTCATGAAAGGTGAGAATGATGAGACAAGAACTATGAAGCAAGAACCAACTCATAACAGCCTGTCTTGCTATATGAAGACAGAGAAGATGCAATGAGATGCAATACAAATGTACAAAATTTTGTCCTTTCTTCAGAAGTAATAGGATCCCTAGTAAGCAAGAAATAAAGACTTACATGTCCCTTGAAGGTATATAGCAATGCAGAGGCACACCGTTGAGGTGAAGAAAAGGGATCTCTTGGGGTGATCCATGGCTGCTGAGTTGAAAAGAGAGAAGGCAGATGGTTACCCAATGCCTACTTTCAGATCTGGTCCAGTTTTATCCTTCCTTAAATAATCCTGGATAAAGTGGCTCTACCACCAAGTAACCAGTTCAGACTGTTATCATAAGACAGGGCTGCTGACATACAATTTGCCTGACAAGATTCCTGACTTTTGGTATTTTTGTAAGGAAAAACAAAATAAAGAAGGGGGAGAGGATCCCTGTCTACTCATTCCAGAAGTGCCTATCACAGGAAACTGACACACAATTCCATGTAGATACAGGGATTAATAAAAATAATTCAGAATTAATGTGGGGAAATGATGTATTAAACACACAAAGAACAACACTAGTACACCCAGAAACATGCCAAAACCCTTGTTAAAATCAAATCCTTGTAATGTGGAGTCTGACAAAATAATTATAAAGTACATCTTAAAGATGGTGTTGTTGCAGCAGATTGAGGTTTGTAATCTACTTACGAAAGACCAGGACTTGAGACCACGAANATACATACATGAGACAGCGCTTGAAATGTGGTTAAGCATCCAAATTTCATCACTTTTAACTAGCAGCTAGATTGAAGTCAAGTCTATTTTCTAAGTATGCAGCTGGAAACACACGATTTATTTTCTAAATCAGTTTGCATTTTGGGAGGAAAAAATAGCTCCATCCTTTTATTTTTCCCCTAAGGAATTTGGAATGGCTTTATCTCCACACCAAGCAGAGCCAGTTGTTTAGTTTTAGTAAAAGTAATACATATTTTGTGTTCTTTATGTCATCCTCTGGTTTTTTTTTTTTCAAATCCAGGGTGTTAGTAAAGTTGAAATAAACAAAAGTCAAACCAAAATTAAAGCTTAGAGGAAAAAAAACACCACTTGAGATTGTTTAAAAAAGTGTGACTAATTGTGGGCTGGACATTTCCTTTGTTTAGTTATTTCAACCTATGTGAACTACATCTATGCTGTAGGGTGGTTCACAAAATTAACAAAAACACCTAGACACACTCAAAAGCAACAAATATATTAAAACAAAGCAAAAATAACTATAGTAAATTATAGGTAGAGCAACTTAGAAACCGTGGGCTTGCAGGAATCATTGGAATAACCTAATTCTCTGTTGCTTAACAAGTATTTTTACACCATGGAGTCTATATGTCGGCATCCTTTGCTTTAGTTCCATTAATGAGGCCTGGCTAAGCCCTTGACAGGAAATATTATTTTGGTCAAGAATGGTCATTTATCACCTGGCTGGAGTATCAAATGAAAAAAACCAGCCCCACGTAATATTTGCAGATATACCACTTGGGGAAGGCCAGTAAAAAAAAAATCCACTCATCTAATAGTAAAGGTCTTCTGAATGTCCACCTGTTTAAAATTCAGAGCTAAATACTCTTTTTTGAGAAGAACGAGGAATTTCACGGAAATATTTCCTTTAATAACTAGGTTTTTCCAGGCCCACTTCACTACTGTTTATATATTCAGCTCAATTGCTGCTTGGTGTATTCTCCTACTTGAAGTGGGGGGTGGGGGGGTATAGGAAGCACTGTTTTGTCTGCATGCTGTCTGTTCTCTATAGTGGAAATAACAATAACCAACATGTGAAAGAGCTGAAGAATTGGCTATCTTCTCCTAATATCCAGAATTGCTCCTGATTTGTTTTAGCTAATGGGGACCTCATCATCCACCCCTTTCACCACATATCCACTTCCACTATTTTTTAAAAAAATAGATCATATAAAGGTAAAGGTTCCGCTTGCACATATGTGATAGTTGTTCCCAACTCTAGGGGGTGGTTCTCATCTCCGTTTCAAAGCCGAAGAGCCAGCGCTGTCCGAAGATGTCTCCGTAGTCATGTGGCTGGCATGACTACACCGCCAAAGGTGCACGGAACACTGTTACCTTCCCACCCAAAGGTGGTCCCTATTTTTCTACTTGCCTTTTTTTACGTGCTTTCAAACTGCCAGATATATAAATAGATCATATANAGTAGTAGCCATCCCCGTAAGCAATTTTTTTTTTCTTCCTTTCTCATTTGCAATAGTTCAGCAAGTATTGGGTATGTTTCCCTTTCAGTCCTGGATGTGGAAATGGAAGCAGGGGAATCTGCCATGTTACATTGGGGAAAAACACTAACAGATGAGCTCTGGTGGAATGGTGTTGGAAGAAATGTACATCTGGGTTCAGTTCCAAGTGGGGGAAAAGACACTGGAAACATGGAGGCTGTTTGGAAAGATGGTTTAATGATGGGCAGGACCATATGGCTTGAGCTCTTGAGCAGAAAAAAAAGCCGAGATGCCGAGAGAGCCTGAGTTTTATAATCTCTGTTGGGTCCCACCTCTCTGTTTCCTGTTCCTGTGTAAGAAATGTATCCCATTGGCTGTCAGACTCCCAGGGGTGGGGAGTCTTAGCTAACTTTGTAGGTTGTGTGCTAACTTTGGTTGAAACTTGGTGGATGGTGCAATGAAGGGCAATGAGATGGGGTAGATTTTGTTATGTAGAATAGGCTGGCCCAGGCCTTAATGGCCCATTGACAAAAGTGGGGGGGGGTGAGTTTCTGCCTTCCTTTTAGGGGGAAATATTCTTCCCTTTTAATATCTCCTAAAATATTTCATTTTCTAGGAGAGAGGTGGGTGCTATCTTCCTACAATGGGAAACGGGAATTAAGAAAACAAGTCCCTTCTAAAACTTGTATCTTATTCATTGCAAGTTCTAATCCCAAGATAAATTTCATTTTTGTTCTCTCTCCAAGTGGCTCATTTGCTCTGATTTTTTTTTACAAGCATCTGGATGTGCTTCTTTTTGGTGGAGTGTTCCTACACATTTTTTCCTACTGTTAGAAAGTTGACCCCGGGGATTTGTGTGAACTCTTCTCTCCTCCAAAGAAGACTTCTCGGGTGCTATATATCTTGGGCTAGATGTAGCTCATGTATGCTATTCCTTTCTCTTTGCAGGCTTTGCAGCTGGTTGGGGAGCTAGAAGCAGCTGAGTGTTGGCTAGAAACTGTGGCAGGCTTGCTCGCTGAGCCAAGAGCAACAAAGAACCTTGATGACCTCCAGAGAGATCTGCAAAAAGTTGGCACCTTGAAGAACAAAGCTGGAGCATGGGCTGCTAAGATTCACACTCTGCAGAAAGAAATGCAGATGGTCTCCTCCTCGGAACACACAGCAGCTGCAATGATTCAGAGAAAAATGAAACGAGTAAAGGAAAAGTAAGTTCCTAAGGATCAAAATACTGGGCGGAAGTAATATAACAGCTGGGCTTTTCAGAAGATAATACAAAGAGACCGCATTTCTTCAGGGAGGCCTTATTTAAAAGACAGCTAAGCAAGAGAAGTTGACTTAAAGAAATAGGGCTGTTTAATAAGGTCTTTCTTCTTGCTAGAGGTTTATCTCCTGAGCTAACCAGTTGTTTCTACTTGATAAAGCAGAGTAAATTTCTCTGTGCTTAGAATAGAATAGAATAGAATAGAATAGAATAGAATAGAATAGAATAGAATA